TACGTAAACTAAAATTATATCCGAGATGATGCCGCCTGGTTTCCCCCCCTCTCTCTCTCTCTCTCTCTCTCTCTCTCTCTCTCTCTCTCTCTCTCTCTCTCTCTCGTTCTTCTCTTTTCTCTCTCCTTCCTGCCATATACTATTCCTGTATATCTCTTTAATCCTCTAGCACAATCGTTTTTACCGCGCAAAAGCGTGATAAAGTTAACGTTGTTGGTTTTTCATTTAAGAAGTATTTTGCATCGCGAAATGGCCGACATATTAGGATTACTTATAATCACTGAAAATAAATATAAATTTTGTAATTTTAGAATCGTGAAATTAATTTACGATGCATTTTTTAATTGCCTTTTAGTGTAAAAGACCCTACAAATAGTTCATAGAACTTTAAAAATATCAAATTAAAAATACGAGGTAACTAATATATCCATAAAAAATCCATTTAATACACTAATTATATTTGATGTGTATTCACTTAAGAGTATCCCAATCATTAAAAGTACTGACATTAAAAGAAAACAATATTCTAGTTATCTTCTCTTCCACTTATCTAAACGAACGTATAGCACAGAAAGCTTGTGTCTCCTTCAAATATACTTCTTTTCTTCTCGTTTTTTCTTTCCAATCAGCAAAAGCGAGGAGAAACCGCGAGCAAACTCTCGATCTTAATATCAGTCAAATGATCCTCGTTTCACTTTTCGTTGCATGAGAAGCTCTACGGAAAAAAACGAATAGCGTGCTTTTCAATTTTGTTAATAAAGTACAGCTTACAAGAGAGGAAAGGAAAATGGTATAATAAGAATTGAAGTATCGAAAGCAATAATACAAAAATAATTGCATTTTCCTAGATCACTTGATACGTAGGTTTTTCGTAATAATTAAAATTTTTTAGTATCTTCCGGTACATATATTAATATAAATATAAACGATTAAAGCGTTAAATTAATCAACAAGAAATTACGGAGCAATCTTGCAAAATTTATATTTATCTTATATCGAAAGAGTAAAGCGCAGTATATGCGGCGTCTTAAGTAGAGTCGCGTGTCAAGCAAGTTTTAAGACTAAACGATTTTGTTCGAAGCGATATTGCCGGAAGCAATAGGTTTACCGAAAACGGCAGTTTCCCCGAGCTGCGGTAAACGAAACCCTCCATGCGGTTGCGGTTTCACCGATTCCCATAGCTATTCCTAGTTACGACTCGATAATGGGTAAGTTGAACCGTTTCAACATGATCCATAAAATGTCATAAACCAACACGATAATGGATTTTGGGAAACGGCGATAGGATCGAGATAGGATACGATCGAGAGGCGCTAAACGCACCGGCAGGGCTCTCTCCCCTCCTTTTATTCGAATAACACTGCGAGTCACATGAACAAAGTCATTGTCGAGAATATTTTCCAATTTCGCGCGACCGGTTACAGCGCTTATCCGTACTTCCCCCCCCCCTCCCCGATTCTTCGTGTAATCCCGAGAACGCTCGAAGATTCTGAATAAAATTCCTATCTATCTGCCCGTTTATCCGGCACCCTGCCGAAGACGCCTCGCGTTGAGCTAACCCGTCCGGGACTTGATCCGGTACACGAAGAAGCAGAAATTCTCCTGCAGCTACTGCTCCAGCTAATTCATGGAAAATTCAAACCGTACGACGCCGACAGCCCGCAGCGCGAAAATACGCGAGGCACGCGCGTTTCTATTCGCGAAAATGTTTTATCCGACGACTCGCACCTCCGCTGATTCTTGCCGCGTGTCGTTAATCCGCGCATCGCGAAAATCTGATGGGTTTTCCGTGAGAAATGGCCTCGAGATTCGTGTCGGACGAGAACGAGAGCACGGTCGGAATATATTCGGCGCGGGACAGGAATCGCGCGCGGCACGAACACAACATTTCTATGCATTTTGGACGTGACGAGCTCGCGTTTGCATATCTCAGCTGAGCGGCACGAAAGTAATTTTTGAATTTTTAACTCTATCACAAAGTTTGATTAATAACGCTCCACGCGCGACTCAAACGTCATTCTAATGACGCGGGGAGCGCTGTCGTTGATCACGACCGGGTCGATTCGAGAATAATTGGCAATCAGCGCAAGATAAAAGAATACTCATTTCCCCGTGCTAATGAAATCATATCATAAATTTCACAATTGACTAAACGGAGTTTGTTAATCTACCACATCATAACCGCAATCATTAAACATTCCTACGGTAACTCGCGAGTGTATTTTGCGAGCGTATATGTCGAAATGTACAGAAACATTTTTAATTAATAAACACAACAATTGGCAAATATTATTTCATAACGGTATCCAGTTTTGAAATAATACGAAAAATGCCCACGTATATAAGAGAAACAAAATATAAATGGAATAGCGTATTCAGTCCTCGCGGATATGTTACTTTTAGATTTCAGTGTACACTGTAGACTCGTTTTATTTCGCCGTTAATCAGACAAGAAATTCTGTTACACAAGCAATTACAGAATATCTAACTAA